GAAAAGTTTAATGGTACTTTGAAGAATGTAATGTTAAAGCGGTTGTGCCATGAACAACCAAGGCAATGGCATTGGTATATTAGTGCTTTACTCTTCGCATATAGAGAGGTACCACAGGAGTCAACTGGTTTTTCCCCATGTGAGCTGTTATATGGTCGAACGGTTAGAGGCCCAATGAAGATCCTTAAAGAGTTATGGATCAAAGAGCGATACTCCTTAGATAGTTAATAGTTACCAGTATGTGTTTGAGTTGAGAGATCGGTTAGAACAGACTTTAGCGATTGCTCGAGAGGAATTACAGAAGGCACAGAACCGATACAAGTGTTACTATGATCGAAAAACGAAGAAACGAGTGCTTAAGGAAGGAGATAAGGTGTTAATTTTGCTGCCAACTGACAACAACAAGCTATTGATGCAGTGGAAGGGTCTTTATGTGGTGGAGCAGGTAATAGGCGAAAACGATTATCGAGTGAGGGTAGGTGACAAAGTGAAGACGTATCATGTAAATATGTTAAAGTTGTATGTTGAGCGGGAGACATCACTTACCTGACTACATGAACTTTTGAACAGTATAGTAGAATGTTATTCGTTTATGATTATTTTCCTATTTTATTATATTCTACTGTATGTGATTTTCGAATTTATGTACTCAGAGCTTTATTCAGTTCGATTTGATATATTGTATTGTTGTTACGGGAATATTACATTGCGTGCGACAGTAATATTCTTTAAGTTGATAAATACAGGTTCATGAAAGTCTCAAGCAATACTGGAATGCATAGACTGATCATTGTTACATATGAATAAACACTGAATCACAAAAAAATGAAAAGATCACTGATGCCACGTGATACGGTTACGTGGGGACGATCACCCAGTCAATCAGAGTGATACAAACAATCGACAAAAACAAACAAGAGTTACGTATATGCGAGAATGAAACGTACTCATTTATTGAAGTTAGATAGAATATATACATATATGCAATACCAGAGGGACGTATGGTTCGCATCTACAGGGCATCAGTCAATTATAATAATATATTCAACAATTCATTACATAGCAAGCGCTAAATACACAAATACAAATACGCTGGGCAATGTGGTAGTTAGCGTAAAATGGTGGGCATAAATGTAATTTGCTATACAAAAATTACTTAACTACAGTTCATTGTTCACACTGCAAACGAAGCAGGCTGCAGAACTTCTGAGCATAGACTTGGTAATACACTAGTCAAAGTGGCTGTAATTTTAAGGTACTTTAGGCGACCAATACACAACCATTTCCGTTGGTGCGTTCGTAGATGCCGGTGCACAAAGCCAGTTGACTTTCGGATAGGCAGAAGGCAAAGCCATGAAAATATCAAGCAATCACCACGAAGTGCAAGACCACGCCCATACCATCCAGCTGCTGTTCTAAGCAAAATCTACCACAGTACTGAACTTGAAACCACATGACTGCCCCATTTATACCCCGAGAACTCCCTAAGTGTAGCGAGTATCATAATATGGCTGACTGTCATTGAATGTAAATTAGATGAACTTAAGAAAGAACAACGACTGATGAATAAATTTGTATAAACGCAAAAATACATTTCTGCAAGATCAAATATTAAAATATCGTCACACTGACCCATTTGTAAAGGTATTGGGTCACAGGGGAACTTCTTCACAATGAATATGATGACTAAAACCCCAGTGAAAATCCCTGCAACATC